AACTGACACCACAGATTACTGCAAGTAAGTTAACATTCTGTGACTTCTAGATGGTCATTTGTCAGATTTACAAATACTTTGTTAAAAGTATATTTGAGTCATTAATGTAAAATACTCAAGTTTTTTATAGAGAAGCTTGACCATGAATTATATTTCAAGAAGCTTGCAGACTTTCATTAATCACATTTAAAATGGAAACGAGTATCAGATCCTACATGAGGCTGAGTTTGAAGAAGAGTAAAGCTGTGCATAATGAATTAGCGTGCTGTGCCCTAATTGGTCAATTTCCACAATTTAGTTTCCAAAAGAATGAATATTGTTCATTTTTATGTAACTTGGTAAGAATGTACAATAGTGAAGACTGTGGTTTGAAGTTGAGCAAAATCCATTTATAATTAATAAGCATACTGTGCTGAGATTGTTTGATGACTAAACAATGACTGGATTCTGATGAAACTTAATCAAAATTTATATCATACAATGATCAAGTCTAAACATGATGGTTAGCAAAGTCTGCACATCATTAACATATTATATGACTGTCTGATTTGTTGATAGTTTCCACACAATAGCTTTGTGAAGGAATACGACCGGATTCTGATGATTACACTTTTAGTGAAACCTGCCAATAATTGATAAGCAATCAGACACATCATTTGTTATTGCAGGGTAGTTATAGGACGTTTGTATCAAACAGTTACAGTTTGAACTTGATGAATATATGATTTAGGAATGACCTACTTGTTTGATTTTATTCAGGAACTACAATCGGACTTTGCTGTGTGCTAAATTAGCATTTAGCTGGAAACCTTACATGGGGAAATGTAACGACAGTATGATGGTCTCCACAATCCAGGACAATCAAGTAGAATTTATGAAGGCATTTGGTGGAAACTACTCAACTTGTAATGCTCGTAAGTGTTACCAGCCTATACAATGATAACCAATTAGCAGAGTCTTATTTGAAGTAAATCTGTTTTACATTGAGTCTAAATGGATTCTGTATGACACGATGTACATATATTGTCCCCCCTTTGAGATACTTTAAATGTAACAATCTTGATATTTGTAGATAAAAACGGTATGGGGTTGTATCAAGACATGAATGGCAATCCTATTGACAACATAACAAACCTTCAGAGTCGCTTACCTTGTGAGAATAATACCATACAGTACATTGCTAAATACAACTGTTTTGGTATGCTGGAGAAGAACATGTCCATGGATGTAATGGAACGGAGTTTAATCAAGAACGACACTTGTGGGTAAGTACTTCATACAGATGACTGTATTTAACACTCATAGAGATGATCATAAGTCAGCTTTATAGTCAAAAGTTTACTAAAAGTAGTATTGATAATGATTATTTTCAGTAAACATTTCAGTTTAATATTGTATTGTATTTGGAGTCCAAAAATGATTAATGTACATATGCTGGCCCTTCCGGTTTTTGTTTTGTGACACGGCTTTTAATTTGATGTATGGTACTGTTGATTGTTGCTGGACTGGGATAAGATGGAAAAAATAAATCCTAGTGGAAAAAGTGAGGAGGAACACTTACAAAACATTTGAACCTAATTATAAAACAT